TATATATATATATATATATATATATATATATATACACACACACGATAATCTATACTTGTCGCACCTCAAGGATGTGATAACAGTAACTCCTTGCATCATACACATGCGATAACCCATACCTGTCACACCTCAAGGATGCGATAACCACCCTTGTCGCATCCAACATATGTGTTGATCCTCTCTCTCATTGATTTGATGATGATCCCTTTCAACCTATCGAAGTATAGTAATTTTGTTATTCAGTTTCAGTGATCATCACTGAGTCTGTTCAGTGATCGCTGAACATGTATTGCAATTCCTTCATAGACTGTTATACTTCAAGAAGACAAAACTCACACCACAGATCCTTCAGTGATGTCGAAAACAGAAACTTAAGATTAGAGACCAACAAGTTCGTGATTTGAAGCGGCATTTAGTGACTACAAGCTCTTGTACATATGTGTGAAGTTTGCTTAAGTTTCAGTGAATACTGAAGAGACCTTTTCAATGTCATTCCAGTATTCAACGATCAAATGAAACTTACCAAGCACGATTGCTTTTGTCTTGTCCTCTCTCACACAAAGGACAAACCCATACCTTTTATAGAGTATAGTGCAGTACGGAGCCACTCCGTTGACTCTATAGTGCTTACCTACTTTATGAAAAGTGGATTGCTCATATACAGCCAAAAGGACTGTTTACTGTAGCAAAAGACAAACTTTCCTCCAAAAGCTTAACACATGCTTGTACCTTATGAATTGCATTTAATGCAATGGGTATAAATAGTTGAGTGTTCTCCTCTCAGTTATAAATCTTTCCACTACTAACTTACCCAAGAAGTTACATCTCTCTCTACTCTCTACCTAAGAGAAAGAACCACTTTGAACAAATGAAGAACACTTTGATTCTTATCTTTATTTCTTGTAGCAAATCTTTTCTCTTTGCTATTTGTAATTGTGTGAACTCTAGATTGTTTAGATAGGTTCTTTACCTTATCTCTTTCGCAAACAATCTGTAAAATTTGTATTGATCTCTCCTTATCAATATATAATTTTAAAGTGAAAGTTTCTATGTTTGTATTCACACTCCCCTTCTACAAACTGATTACCTATAACTCTTGTAGATCCAGCTGGGACCAACAAGTGGTATCAGAGCAACGTTTGCTTTTTGTGATGTTTTGTTGTTTTATTGGCACCAAGAGAACCCATACTGATGGAAAATATTCATCAGTACCTCTACAATGAGCATGACAAGCAGATAATCCTGAACCTACCAAACTTATCTCCGGAATCCATGGACTTCATCAGGTACGAGTTCGTGAGGAAACCCACTCTACCTCCCAATCTCGTTTTTTCAAACGAAGGAATGAAGGTTGTCCTCAA